GAAGAGGGGGGAATCTGTGATTAGTATGTAAAATGAAAAAAAAGAATTTTTTTTCTTAATTAAAAAATTTTCTTACTTTAAGTTCTGGGAGGCAATGAAAATAGCCTACATTTTTGGGGAGTCTCTTGCACTGCCCTGACCAACAATTTGAGGAGACATTTCTCATATATGACACTAGAGTTTTTGTTAGGTGTATTACATCCCTTGGGTTAGTATTATCACCCCATGTGGTACAACTCCACTACATTCATATCTGTGAGAACTTATAAAATAATGTTTCTTTATGGATTTTCCAACCTCCTTAGTGTTATTTATCTCTCATTCCTCTTCCCTCCCATCAATAAAATTCCCTCTATTGTTTTCCTTCTTTTTCACTCTGCAGCACCTGTGTCCTATCCCCCTCTAGAGTTCCTAAACTGCTCCTCCCCCATGTTCCTTTTCTATTATCCTGGCCTCTGTGGTTACTTCAGGTTATATTATGAAACTTACCAGTAAATAGGTGGAGCTAGAAATATACTGTGTGAGGTAACCTAGACTCTTAAAGACAAATGCCTCATGTTCTCTCTTACTTGTGGATATTGGCTCTAGAGCATATAACCTGACTATAGACATCTATATTTAAGTGATGTGTACTGAGATCCTTGTCTATGTAGGTTTATAACAAAGGTTACACAATGCTCTTTCCAGACTGTTTCATTGTTTCATTCACAAATACAGCAAAATATTTGCAATATATGAATTAATATATGTGAGAATTTCTTGTCTCCTGATTTTCCTTTAAAATACGTGAAATGATTCCTTGTATAGTCTGGACTCCTATGCTTCTATATTTTTTAACCTGTACCTGAGCTACAACATCACAGAAAGAGAAGCCCATCTCAACCTGGTGCTTACCAAAATCAAAACAAATGGGAGAGCAGAAAGGACATCATTTCCCAGAGTCCAGACAGACAAAAGGATCAGGTATCAATCCTGTGACCAGAACAAACTTTCACAAAAAAATAGTGTATAACAGAACAGAACAATGACAGTTTGCAAGGCTCTGATGTGGGTTTGGTGCTGAAGTCTCTGCATCCTTTGATGTTGTGCTGCATGCTCTTCAGATGTCTCCACAGGAAGATGAGCAAGAAAAAAGTTGCCTGGGATGTGGTGATATATTGTGCACTCCAATAAAACTTATCTGGGGATCAGACGACAGAGCCAGCTACTAGATTAGCCAGAGAGGCCAGACAGTAATTGTACACACCCTTAATCCTATCCCTCAGGAAACAGAGATCCCTCTGGATCTCTATGAGTTCAAGCTCACACTGGGAACAGAGCCAGGCATGGTGGCACATACCTTAAGTCTAAACACTTGAGATCTCATGTGTGGTGGTATTGTGTTCCCCAAAATATTATGTACCCTAATAAATTTATCTGGGGTCAGAGAACAAACAGCCACTAGATACAAAGGCTAGAAAATGGTGGCATTCACACCTTTAATCCTAGCATTCCAGAGATAGAAATCTCTCTGGATCTCTGTGAGTTCAAGGCCACATTGCAAACAGCCAAACATGGTGACACACGCCTTTAATCCCAGAAAGCCAGCCTTTAATCCTAGAGAGTGGTGGTAGAAAGCAGAAAGATATATAAGGCGTGAGGACCAGAAACTAGAAGCATTTTGGTCTGGTTAAGCATTTGACTGGTTAAGCTTTTAGTCTTTGAAGCAGCACAGTTCACCTGGGATTCATTCTGGATGAGGACTCAGAGGCTTCCAGTCTGAGGAAACAGGAACAGCTGAGGAACTGGTGAGGTGAGATAGCTGTGGCTTGTTCTGTTCTCTGATCTTCCGATTCACCCCAATACCTGACTCGGGTTTGATTTTATTAATAAGAACTTTTAAGATTCCTTCTACACTCATGCCCTTGCTTGGAAAGCACACAAGCCTTAAATCCCAGGAAGCAAAATGGCAGGGCAGAAAAAGGTATATAAGGAGTGAGGAAACAGGAACTCACTTTCTTTTGGCATAATATTTCATAGGTGTAAGAACTTTGGCTTGTTCTGTCTCTCTGATCTTTCAGCTTTCACCTCAATATCTAGCTCCAGGGTTCTTTTTATTAATAAGACCTTTTAGCAATTTGTGTTACACAGGGATATACCAACAGGTATGAATGAGAACACAGGATTGATAAATGAAAGAAGTTTGCAAAATTGTGAATAGTTACAGAGCCTGAAAGTGTAAGATATATTTCTTTGAACACAATCAACACACATATTATAGTATATTTTTATAACTACAGTATTTAATAACAAGAGAAATAGAGACAGTAACAAAGTCACTGAGAGCACATTTTTAACTCTAAACTTTAGGTAAAGAAAAATAATATTAGAAAAGTTGACTATCTTGAGGAATTAAAAGATGCTTAAATTTGTAATAAGATAAAGGTTACAAAGATTAATCACTGTCCAAGAGATAAAATATACTCTTAACATTTTTCCAGTCAGCACAGATATCCACCAATCTAAGAATACCAACCAAATCAGACTGATTCTGGAAATTTTCAAAGCAGTGAGGATTTGATCCACTTGAAGAAATATTTCTACTTTTGACCTAGTCTTCACAGTTCATCAGAGCAATGAATCCATTTCCTAAGGTTCTCATTATGAATTCCATGCTGAAAATTATAGCAAATGTTCTCTGTAGGACAGCAACCATTTTCTGTAAAACAATGCCTAAATTTCTGACGTCACTCCTGAGGATTTGTTAATATATTCATCCAATATTTCTTCAGAATATGTGTTGTACTCCTTTTAAAAATTCACAGATGTAATATCACACAAACAAGCCTCAGGCTTTCTTAATGACTCCTTCCATATCTTTCCCCATGAAAATCTTGGACGGATAGACCACACAGAAACTTTATCCAAACACTGACTGGCTTGGAGGATTCTAGGATCTTCTCTAGTTGATACTGAAGGAAACACTGTGTTTTTGTATGCCAACATACAAATAACAATATTTAGTTGCCTTTTTGTTTGCTTTTCAACATGTTTTATTATCTGGGTAATTGAGTATTGGGAAACATAATGTTCTATTTAATATAAAAAGCAATAAAGACCTTTACTAGTGTGTGGAAATTCTTAAGCACAAGGGTTCATTAGACTCTTCAAAAATGGATCAGCACAAGTAGATAGATAGATAGATAGATAGATAGATAGATAGATAGATAGATAGATAGATAGACAGATAGATAGATAGATGATAGATAGATAGATAGAATTCAAATATTAACATATAAAATTATACCTAATAATCTGGCTGAAATAAAGACTTTCTAAGTGCTTAATACTGAGACTAACACTTATTGATCACTTTATTTCATGCAAAGGTGTGTATACTCACACAAACACATACATGCACATTAATTGGTGTCAAATTCCTCTTTCTCTAGTGTAAAAACTCAGCTTGCTATTTTACTCAGCACTATACATTTATCTAGTGCCTTAATATTAAACATTGTTTAGACAGTACCCTCAGGTACACATTATGGAGTATTAAATATAAATATTCAGTAACCTTGAGTCATGTGCTCTATCCATGTGAAAATGGGTGGAAGGTACTTTGTCCTCCCTTGAAGTAGTCAATGAGGTAAATCAGTCCATCTACAAAGAATCTGTTTCAGCCCTTCTCTCTTCCCCAGTAAGACAAATTATTTTATTGTCATAAATGACCTGCAGAATTTATCGATCGCCCCTCACCCCCAATGTCTGTTTTGTAATCATCATTACAGAAACCAAGGAAGGCAAGGATGATTTGCTGCCTCAGTGAAATGGGCAGAGAGAGGATCACAGGATTTCTTTCTCCTCAACAGGGAAAGAGTAAATAAAGACAAAAAAAATACAAAAAAAAAATACAAAAAAAAAAAAAACCTCATCATTACGTCTAGAGACAGAAGAAAAAGACTGTATTGTAAATATCAAAAGTGGTTGAGAAATACGTAGGATAACCCTGGTGGCATAGTGTGGGAGGCTCACTATCCTTTGTCTCCTGAAACAATATTGAGCAAAGTAAAGGAATCCAATCTACTTTTTAAATATCCACAAATATTAACACTTAGGTATAATAGAAGAACATAGGAAATCTTTCAGTGAATTATATTTATGGAGAATTAAATATAAATATTCAGTAATCTTAATATATATTATTATATATAATAAAATAAAATAAATAAAAATGCAAACTTACTAAATAGAAGGCAGTTCCATATGATGTGGTTCCTGTCAGTTAACAATGATGAGCTCAGGAAAGCCAAAGAAATATGCAAACTACCCTGGGATGAGGCTCTGTGGGAAGAGCAGGCATAGGGAGCTTCACAGATTTGGGGGAAGATTCAGGACTTAGGTATCCATTGACAGCTACACACGCTGAGGATCCCCACCACAGCTAGTGTCACTCTGTCCCCCAAACATTCCCAGTTCTACTTTAAGAGCACTTTCTAGGCAATCTTCTTTTATTTATTTAATTATTTTAAATTTTGCCTTAAGAAAATTTATATTCATTTTATATTCCTATCACAGATTACCCTCTCTTCCCTCTTCCTGCCCCCCTAGTCTTCCCCCACAATCCACCCACCATTCCCTCCTCTGACAAGGTAAGTCCTCCCCTTGGGAGTCAGCAGAGCCTGGTATTTTCAGTAGAGGCAGGTTGATTCAAGCCCTTCTTCCTGCATCAAGGCTGTGCAAAGTGTCCCACCACAGGTAGTGGGCTCCAAAATGCCAGCTCATGCATGAGGGATGGATCCTGATCCTACTGCCAGGGACCCCCCTAAGCAAATCAAGCTGCACAACTGTCTCGCTTATACAGAGGTCCTAGTCCAGTCCATGGAGGCTCCACAGCTGTTGGTCTAAAGTTGATGAGTTCCCGCTAGCTTGGTTTGGTTGACTCCTGGAGCTCAGTCTGGTGCTTGGCTGTGGATCTCTGCATCTGCTTCTATCAGTTACTCGAGAAAAGCGTGGCTGCGTGCTCCCGACCGACCCGGGTGGTGGAGCCCGCGGCGGGGCCCCCTGCGCGCTTCCCGAGCGGCCGGAGGAGGAGTCCATGGTGCGGAACTTGGCTGGGGGGGGACCTGGCCTCCTGCGCTGGCGCAGCCGCCGGAGCCACGCCTGGACCTCGGCCTGAGGAAACTCCTTCACAAGGAGAGATGAAGAAGAAATCTGTGTATAATTAGAATGTGGGTGATCAGGAGTGTGAAGATATGGAAGGTGAAGAAAACAGAAATAATGCTGGTACCTCTGGCCTATTGTACAGTGAAACAGACAGATGTCCAATATGTCTTAGTTGCCTCTTAGGAAAGGAAGTTGGTTTTCCAGAAAGTTGTAATCATGTCTTCTGTATGACCTGTATTCTTAAATGGGCAGAGGAGGGCTATCTATAGGCAGCCTATGTGATTGAGGATAGAGCAGCATCAGGAAGCAAGAAATATGAGAAACCAACAATCCTGAATTCCCAAATAAGGAAGGCTTCCTGTTCTTACATTTAAATATGGGTTTGTCTGAGCTGGGAATTTACAACGCTTCAGAATACTAGGATAGTGGCTTCTTGTCCAATTGACCAGAAACCTTTTCAGGCTGTTTTTGAACTCAGTGTATTTGAAGATTGTGCTAAGATTCAAGTAAAAAGACAATTGAGAGAAATAAAAGACAAAGAAAACGAAAGGTCTTTTAAGAAACAACTCTTTTATCATGGAAGTTCCAAAAGCAATAAAAGAAAAAGAAACACCATTGGAGAAGATGTAGTATGTGAAAGATTTCATGATTTGAAGGTGTTGAATAGAATCTTTTCAAACAATAAAATGGATGAGAAGAAAAACACTACAGTAAAGACAAATAAGGTTCGAAGATCAAATCAATCTACAGATCCTTGTATCGGACATTGCGTGTCCAGTTTGTTTTCATGCGGCAGCCATCATGTGGGACCTCAAATCTATAGAGCTTACTGTACAGAATCTGTAGAAGTCAGTGAAATCAGGGCATTGATTAGGCAAAAACGACAGGAATTGGAGTTGTCCTGGTTTCCTAATACATTACCTGGAATTGGAAGAGTTGGTTTTGTACCTTGGAGTCCTGAGACAGAAGTCCTTCCCTTGATTGCCTCTGTGTTGCCAAGGACTATTTTCTCAGCAAGTACCATGTCATTAGAAAATTTTGGTAAAGTTTGTGAATTTATTTTTTGTTTTAAAAGTAGTTATTAGCTTCTTTTGCCTCCACAAACATGTGAGTGTTCATGATTTAGAATAATTAGTTGATTAGAGTAATTCTTGGCTATTTTGATAAATATTTGGGCAGTGTCTGGTTTGAAATCATTACGAGAGTGCAAGTGGACAACGGATTGTCATGCAGCCATCCAGAAGGAAGGAATCCCATCTAGTGTAGTGGGTAAACCTGCTGGTGGAGTGCATTATGCTGAGTGATAGAATCCAGGCACAAAATGACAGAAACGTAATGATACTCCTGTGCATTTGAGAGTAGCATGAAGTGCAGTGGCTTGAGGTTGAGAGTGGGATTGGCAGTGGTCAAAGAATATAAAATTTGAATAGGGAATAAGGGCAGTGGGTCTAGTGTATAAACAGTGATTCTATTATCAGCTTGGGAAATGCTGAGTGAATGTGAAATGTCCACACTACACACACAAAGATAACTATGGGGATGGTGTGTTATGTTAATTAGCTGGATTTTATCATTTCACAGTACGTACTTTATCATGTACTGGCAAATACATACAGCTACATGAATTAATTTAATTTTTGAACTAGAAAATCTGTTCTACATTTTTAAGACATGGAGAAACTCTTTGTTTAGGGTTCTAGTGTCTAAATCATGGCTCTTTAGAAATAACATCTGTGAATTCATTATGAACAAGTAGTCTTCATATTCATTCATGGGTAGCATTTCCTTGCCTAGAAAGTCAGTTCATAAATGGTTTGTACCTAGAACACACCTTCCTTTCCTCTATAAAGTTTTCTACCTCAAATCTGGCTGTACCCTTATTTTAGTAGCATTAAGAAAGTACTGATGACCAGCTGGATGTGATGTGGCACATGCCAGCTCTTGGGAGTTAGAGGTTGGAGGATTCAGGAGTTCAGGGTAATCCTTGACTACATAGTGAGTTTAAGGCTAACTTGGGATACAAGAGACTGTCTCAGTATTCACCCAATACTGATGAAACCAACTATTACTCATTTGTTAGTAGAGATACACTGAACAGTTTGATTCACAAACATACTATTTTTATTGTATTACAGGCACTTATTATTATTATCTGAAACTATTGTCAAATTCTGTCTTGAAACATTAAAATCCTCTTATTTTTCCACGTTGTCAGGTACTTCTCATAAGGGATGCGCATTAGCACACACCCAAGGAGGAGGAGAAAAGAAGCAAACTTCGGGCACATCCAGTACCAGAGGATCAAGACGAAAACCTGCAACATCTGTTCCTACAAGGAGGTCCACACGAAACACAAGAGCAGAGACAGTCAGCCAGCCCCAGAAGTCCCCAGTGTCAAATAACTCTGAGTGGGATGCCCCGGGGAACAGTAATTCCTCTGTAAGTCTTTCCCCTCCAGCTGAATCAGAAACGCAAACAAGACAGGCTCCAAAACGGAAGGCCGTAAGGAGAGGAAGAAAGCCACCTCCACTGAAAAAGAAACTTCGGAAGTCTGTCCCTCCCCCTGAAAAAACAACATCTAGTGATTCCGTAGAGGAAGAAACAGTGGACTCTGACACACCGCCCATGGTGGAGAAAGAGCAGCAATCAGGAGTAGAAAGTAGTAGCATTTCTTCTGTTCTGACAGATGGGGAAAATCATTTGGTTAATTGCTTGAAAAGCTGCAGTGAAGAAACAAGAAAATGAACAAACCACGAATCATGAGCTAGAGGATGAAGTAGAATTTTTATGTTCTGAATCTTGTAGTCAGGATCCTCCTGTGCTTGTTGGAGAGGATACAGGTGTAGAGGCTAAGGAGTTGTGTGTAGACCATGAGATTGCTACAGATACTCCTGTACAAGGAAGTGATCCGATAGAACATCAAGAGCAGGTGCCTGGAAGTTCAGAGTCAGAGGTCCTGGCACCTGTGTGTACAGAGAGTCCTCCTGATGGTGTTTGTACGTGTCCAGCCTCTGACATTGAAGGACCTCAGCCAGTGTCCAGTCCTCTGGGTGAAATATCTGAAAATACAGAGTCAGTGGTTAATGATGAAAAAATAGAGGAGAGTCTTGTAGTAGAAAGCAACGATTTGAAAGAGCCTTCAGTAAACATAGAAGCATCTGTAGAGAGCCCCAAATTGGAATCTTCTGAGAGTGAAATTGCACACACACTGGACAGACACTGTGTTGCCAGCTCAGACACCGAATTGCCTGAGCATGTTCAAACTGAAAATACAGAAATAATTCCAATACGTGACAGTTCAGAAAATGAAAGTTCCGATGCTAGTCAAGATTGTGAAGATAATTTATTGAAGCATAATCTTGATGACACCCAATTGGACAAATCTTTAGAGGAAAAGACAGAAACTCTGATTGAACATCCCCTACCTATAGAGTTACCTAACACAGAAGTTGAACAGAGTGAGAAACATTTTAGTGAAGATAATAATGAAACAGTACCTATGGAGTGCGATTCATTTTGTAGTGACCAGAATGAGTCTGAAATGGAATCAACTGTAAATACTGATTCTAAACAATTGAATGAAAATTCTGTGACCCCCAGTTCTGAAAATAAGCTGTCTTCTGATCCTACAATTGAGAAGGTTGAAACCGTAGCTCAACCACCTGAAAGCCTAGTGGATACAGCCCCAAAGCCTCGTACTCGGAGATCTAGATTTCATTCTCCATCTACAACTTGGTCTCCTAACAAAGACACTGCACAGGAAAAGAGGCGGGCTCAGTCTCCATCTCCAAAAAGAGAGACTGCAGTAGAAAGCAAGACTTCTCAGTCACCATCACCCAAGAGAGAGTCTGCCAGAGGACGGAGAAAATCTCGTTCTCTCTCACCAAAAAAGGACGTGACAAGAGAGCGGGGGCAGTCTCGGTCTCCAAAGAGAGAGAGTGCTCAGGAAGCCAAAAGATCGGAGTCAGTGTCCCCGAGAAGAGATGCTCCTAGAGAGAACCAGAGATCCCAATCCAGAGCAAAAGATTCTTCCTCAAGAGAAAAATCTAGGTCCCGGAGCAGAGAAAGAGAAAGTGATAGAGATGGGCAGAGGAGAGATCGAGATAG